TCTCTCTCTCTCTCTCTCTCTATCTATCTCTATCTCTATCTATCTATCTATCTATCTATCTATCTATCTATCTCTGTTCTTCATGCATGCACTCACTCTCTCCCTGTCTGTCTACTTGAGGGCCTTGACTCCGAATACTCCTACTACTACCTAAGAGGCTATGGCCGCCTTCCCTCCTCAGCACAGCACTGCCCAGCCAGGGCTCCCGCGCATTCTACTACGCAGATAGCGGACAAGCGCTTCAGCAGCACTTCCACACTTATCTCACGAACGAGCAATCTGCCTGAAATGTGGCTGGCCAGTCCTTATTATATTGACTTGGACTGAGCCTGAACTTGTCCCAGCCTCTGCTTCCTTTGGCTTGACTTGGAAGCCGCCTGGTACCACATGCCCACGGCCTGTTTTCTTCAGAATGACGAGGCCGGGTACCTCCTTCCCTGAACTTTCCCTTGATGTGCTGCTGCTTGGTTGGGCCTGTGAGTCACGACTTTTCATCTGTGGGATCTGCCTCTTTGCCTATGAGACATGACCTTTGCCTGTAGACTATGTCCTTTGACTTTGAGACGTGCCTTTTGCCTGTGCGACACGACTTTTGCCTCCGGAAGTGCCCTTTGCCTTCGGAATATAACCCTTCCCCGCGAGACGTGCTTTTGCCTATTGGATGTGACTTTTTGCCTCTGGGATGTGACTTTTGACCGGGTGCTCGTTGGAGTCGACCTCTGGGAGGGGGCACCCCACTTAGCTTTTCTGAAACTGGCCGACGTGGCCCCCCTCTCAGCCAGAGACTTTGACCCTGAGATTCGAATTTGGGGTCCGCATCGCGGAATGCCTTTCAATGCGAAAAGAATTGACTCAATTGAGGAGTTACACACACATTCTCAATCGATTCGAGGTTTTTTTAACCAACTGGAAAGCACATGTTTCATGTACAAGCACTTTTTTTTTCAACACTTCGAACGTTGAAGACTTATCACTCACAGCTTTAGATTGATTTGCCCACTTCTCTGTTCAAGCACAACCCCACGATGCCACGGAGACACCAACACAACACAGGAGTTATATCCTAGAAACACACGGCAAGGGAACCTCTCATACTCGATGGGAGCACATGGGGATCCGTAGCATGGGCATGCCAGCCGCGCTGTAGCCCTGCTCCAAAGCTCTGCACAGGACAAGAGGTGGAGAATGGTACTATATTGGTCGCCCGAACACAACACACCCTCAACCATGACTTTATCAGCCCACCCCAGACCATCAGCTTGCACATTTGGCATGCGTTGTGTTCAGGGGAAGACGGGAGGGTGAAGCTGCTGATTCTACACAATCTTGCACATTTTTTGCCTCCCCTAAGGAAATAAGTGTGCACTCTCTCTGAGAGAGAGAGAGAAGAGGGGGTGGGGGACCGGGGCGGAAATAGGGATTGCAGTGCGGTGAGAATGTGGTTGGTTCAGGGATGAAGGGAGTGAAGGAAACATATCAAATTGAATGAAACAAATTGAACAAAATAAAAGTGGAGCTGCAATCTAAACAAGTGTCTACAGCTGAGGCCATGGTGAAGCAGACATCAGCCAGGTTCGAGATTGAAAGCATATAGAAACAGTGAGCTGAAGACAGCTAGATGCGGGGATTTTGGGTGACATGCGACGAGCAGGGGGTACCTGAAAGATCGGCATCCCGACATGGGTAGAAAATGAACTCGTAACGGGACGTTCTGCCGCTTGTATCTTCACACACACTGAGCCATTTTCCCTGCAAAACCTGCGCATTCTCACTGGGAATCCCTCCACAGAGACAGAGAGTGCAAATGGCACTGCCTGCAGATAGATAAACACTTCACAAAAAGGAAAAAAAAGACTTAACAAAGCTCGGATAAACAAACTATGAGCCAATGGGCCTACCTCAGTTGGTACACCCGTGAAAGGTTGAAATACAGACCTGAGTTCGAATCCAGAAATTTGTTTAAGAAAAAAGAAAGAGAAACACAAACTATGAACTTGTGACGACCGCCTGCGCACTACTTCTGGCTCTGCTCACAGCCCTCCAACCGATGTCCGTCCTGCAAAACCCTTCTTGCCAGTCGATGCGGTCGACAGCCTTGTACGCATTTTCCTTTGCCTGTATTACATTGGGGGCAACAGCCGTCACACCGAGCACTCTACCACCGGTCGCAATAATCTGCCCGTTCTCGTCCAGACCCGTTCCCGCATGGAACACCTTGATCCCCGGCGCCGCCCTCTCTGCCTGATCCAGGCCGTTGACGACGGACCCTTTCTGATAGTTTCCAGGATACCCTTTCGAAGCCAATACCACGACCAGGGCCACATCATCGGACCATTTGAGCTGGACACCGTCGAGACCTCCTCGGCATGCCGCGAGCAGCACTTCTGTGAGGTCTGACTCCAACCTCGTCATCAGCACCTGAGCAAGATGAGCATCGACGCATAACGTGTCTCACCAATCAGTCAGTGATTCCAGAGTCGGTTCCCGGCCATGATCGATCCCATTCGATCCCAGACAGACAATCATAGTTGAGGGACTCACAGCTACCGCATTCACCCGAATAGAACACCCGGCTGTTATCGCTGCATCTGGAGTGAAAATTGCCGTAAATACAGCTATAATGATCGGGGATTCTATTCAGGTGAGGACGGTAGGTCCAACCAGAGCAGTGATAGTTCATTAGACCACTTGCTGATCCACCTTGGTTCCTACACCAGACTTAAGTCCAATCCCAAGCCGGTTTAACTCCAGTCCCAAGCCGGTCTCCAGCAAAAGCCGGTTTCACTCCAGTCAAAAGCCGGTTAAGCCGGTTCAACTCCAGTCAAAAGCCGGTTAAGCCAGTTTAACTCCAGTCAAAAGCCGGTTAAGCCAGTTTAACTCCAGTCAAAAGCCGGTTAATCCAGTTTAACTCCAGTCAAAAGCCGGTTTAACTCCAGTCCCAAGCCGGTTTGAAAAGCCGGTTAAGCCGGTTTAACTCCAGTCCCAATCCGGTTCCAATCGTTCTCCCCTCTGCAGGACGGTTGAAATCTCTCTCCAACCAATATGTGAAGCAATTAACCCAAGGTTTCTGTTCTTTTGTTTTTTCTTCTTGGAAAGAGAGAGGGGGGGGCGGAGGGGGGGGAGGGGGGGGAGGGGCTGCTTGAGAAAAGGGTTCAGCTGCCTCAGCACACATTTTAAGGGAAGATTGTGGTTGTACCCCAGTTTTAATTTGGCTTTTCTATCGAACCCGGGATCGAGGCCAAGCTTGTCGTTGTGCCCAGGGACCCCTCCAAATTGTCATTATACCCAACGACCACAACACTGACATTGTTCAAACGCCCATGCTCCAAGTGGGCCAAACAACTTGTCTTTATACCCCACTACCAGGTCGTGCAAATTGTTTGTATGTCTCTCTCTCTCTCTCTCTCTCTCTCTCTCTCTCTCTCTCTCACACACACACACACACACACACACGCACAGCTTTTTTTTTC